AGAGAGAGAGAGAGAGAGATGACGTGTCATGATTCCCGGTGGTCACATTTACATATACTGTTGTCTGGCGCCTTTCAGCAGCTTCAAAGTGTGCAACGCAAAGATATCTAGAGGTGATGTGTCAGAAGATTACTTCATGCTTGAAATCTGATTTCATAATCCAGGGATTACAGTAACAGTTAAAACCCAACACTGGCTATAACAATGTCCCGACATTGTTAACACACTCTGTCTGCTATTGCATTCGGGAATCTGACGATGGGCGCCGCATAGGGGTCTGGCTGTCTCCCTGTATGTGTGTGTGGTGGTTTGTCACGCTGTCTGTGGTGTTGGCTGCACTTCAAAGCACGGAGACTGAGCTCCAGTTACAGGCACTTCCTCCCAATGGGGGAAGTGTGCATGTGTGTGTATTTATACTGTGTGTGTGTGTGTGGGCAAGATAGAGACGAGTGATGGTTATTCACAGCTGAGCGGAGCTGGCAGGAGTCTTCCTCTCTTTCTGTCACCCTCACTGACTCCTCGCTCAGTTCTGTTCAGTTATTCATATGTCATAGCGTATATTAGTGTTTATTAGCAAAACAAAATCTTTCTCTCTCTTCCTCTTGTTTTCATCTGCCACCAGAAATCCCCATGTTTCATCACATTGAGTGGGAGAGGAACTCAGTGTTGCATCAGGTTCCTTATTGACTCACTCATCCGAGAGTTTGTCTGTAAGGATTAGAGGCATGTCTCCACAGAGTATCTAGTTGGTTTATTGACTTCAATACCACACAGTGACAAATATTAAATACAACTTTAAATGATCAAATAAAAACAAACAATACAATTCTGTCAGCTCATTAATAAAACTATTAAACAACCACCATGTTCCAACTTTATAAGGCAAGTATGAAACCTAAAAAGGGGCCTATAAATAGTAAATTAAGATCAAAATGTTACTGTCCCTCAATATGCAACGCTCTCAGCAGACAATAATGTTGATATTGGATGATTCAAAATTACATCCATTGACAGCGAAAATTTTTCACATTCTTGCTTTTCATATCTGCTCATGGTCACTATAGTATGCTTAAGGCCAGGGAAGGATTGCGGTTATAGCAAATAAGCTATGGTTAAGGTATGATGAGGCAACAAAAACACTTGGTTATGGTCAAAGAAAGACTGTGGTTATGGTATAATAATACCATTACCTGGGTACTGGGTTCCTTTGAAAAGACCCAGGTTGGAATAAACATTTGAATACCTTGTATTCTATGCTCCAATATTAGACATTAAAATACTGACTTCTACTTAGACTCCAGCAGTGTTCTTTGAACAGCATCCATTAAGCAAATACAGACTTACAGTGTATTCTAAACTGAGTCCAATTCTTTGGAAGTAAAATGAGTCATATGAGATCGTGGACTTGCTGTAAGTGAGAGCGTATGGCAACCCAGTATCCCTGTATGTTCAGTGTCAGTGGAAGAAGCACTGTGTCCAATTAACATTCGGTCATAGTTTATTTGCAGAGTCATCTGCAAAACCTTGTTCTTGTCTGGAAGTAGGGTTTTCCCAAAGAGTGGCATACTAACAATGCCAAGATGCTTCACTTTTACATTTATTTAAAGGTCCAGTGTGTAACATTTAGGAAGATCTATTGGCAGAAATGGAAAATAATATTCCTAACCCTAACTCCAGATGTTAATATCTGCTGAGGAATTGAAATGTCAACATTTGTGTGTCAGTGTCACTCACGCCGTGGCTCCCTAGGACCGTCCACTGTGATTTTAATGGCTCTCTGGTACGTGGCCACCTGAGGAGGGTTGGTGAACACTGTGATGGTCAGAGTGAAACTCTTTCCTGTGAGAGAGAGGAGAGGAAAAGTGGGAGAAAGAGAATGTGAGAGAATAGATGAATAGAAGAAGAGAAAAATAGTGAAGTGTTAATTAATATTAGTTTTTCCAGCACTTTCCTCTCTCCTTTCCATCTTGCCTCTACTTCTATCCCCCTCCCTCCTGTTCTCCCCAAATATCCTCTTGGTCTGCTTAATGCATTAAGTAATGTAAGTCATGGACCCCCAGACAGGAATAAACCAGACGCCACACACACACACACA